GGGCTAGCCAGGCCCAACCCAGCTGACACGATAAGCTTTTGCATAGTACATTGGAAAGAACATAGATTCTGGAGTCAGAGAACCTGGATTCAAGTTCACCTCTCATACTTACTTGTCTGACCTTGGGTAAGTCACTTAACATCTCTGATATCATAGGACCATATATTTAGAGTTGGTAGGACCTTCAAGGCCATTGAGTCTAACCTTATTTTGTTGACATGAGCCTCAGTTTCCTTCCTCATTTGTAAAATGAAGGGGTTAGAATGGATGACTGCTAAAGTCCTTTCTAGATCTACTATGAAGTTAAGATAATATTAAGAAATAGTCCTATAATGGCCTCCTTGATGTTTCTTGAACAAGACTCTCCATCTCTTACCTTTGGGCAGTTTCACTGGCTGTCTCCTGTATGTGGAATGCTCTCCTTCCTTTTTGCTTCCAGGGCTTCCCTGGCTTCCTTCAAATCCCAGTTAAAATCCCACCTTCTACAGGAAGCAGTTCTTGATACCCTTTAATTCCTGTGCCTTCCCTCTGTTGATTGTTTCCAATTGTTCTGTACATGGCTTGTTTGCATATAGTTCTTTACGTATTCTCTCTCCCATTAGACTATGAGCTCCTTAAGAGAAGGTGCTGTTCTTTAACTTTCTTTATATCCTCAGTGCTTACCACAGTGTCTGGCATATTTTAGGCACTTAATAAATGTTTATTGACTGAATGATTATGCATTTGTATACTATTTTAATGCTTTTTCCTTTTGAGACTAGGTCTCTTTATCTCACTCAGGCTGGAAGGTACAGTAGCCCCTCATAGCCCAATCCTACTATTAATTGGTATGGAAGCTTTGACTTGCTCCATTTCCAACTTGGGCTGGTTTGCCCCTTCTTAAGCAGGCTAATGGTTCCTCCCCTACTTCTACTCTTGGAGGTCACCATTTTGGTGCTAGACGTAGTACAGAAACCCAATTGGCTTCAGCTTATTGCAACTCAGAATTCCAGAATTCAAGTGATCCACCAGCTTTTGTCTCCCTCAGGAGCAGGGATTATAGGCATGCATCACCATACCTAGCTATCTTAACTTTTAAAAATACTTTCACATTCAGTATTATCAACTATAACACTGAGAAGTAAGGTTTGTCTAAGTTCTCACATCTAGTTAGCAGAAAGCAAGTCTCTTTTTAAGGTCTTTTGATACCCACCCCCCACCCCCCACCATGTACTTTTACCACTGGACTGAATTTTCCCTTTGCCTCTGTGTTCCCTCAAGGAGTCCAGCCAGGTATCCTATTCAGATTCTCTTTGGGTGACCAGCTTGGACTTTGGAGGAAGGTCAACAGGAGGCAGTTTGAGGCCTTCCCTTGGACTTCTGGAATGGGAGCACTATTGCCATTCTAGTAACTGACCAGGTGCCATTTGGTGGGGGTCCAGAACATTTTGTCATCAGTTCAACCCAGCAAATATTTGTAAGTGGCTGCCTACTGTTATGCAAGATACTTCATTTGTCTCTTTGCCTTTTAATTGGCTGTCCCCCATGCCTCGAATTCTCTCCCTCCTCATCCCTGACTTTTGGCTTCCTTCAAGTTTGAGCTAAAATCCCACCTTCTGAAGGAAGTCTTTCCCAGTCCTTAATGTTAGTGCTTTCCCTCTGATGTTATTGCCATTTAATCCTGTATGTATCATGTTTGTACATAGTTGTTTGCATGTTCTTCCCTCCCATTAGAGTGTTAGCTCCTTGAGGACAAGAACTGTTTTGCTTATTCTTTGTATCCATAGAACTTAGAGCACTGCTTGGTGCACAGTAGGCACTTAACAAATGTTTGTTGTTTGCCTCTCATTTCTATCTTTTCTTTTTACATAAACCCAGTATGTTTCTTCACCTCTGTCAAAATAACACCTCTGTTAAAAGCCCTCCTAACAAACAAGTACAGTCAAGTAAAAGAAATTTACATATTGACATGTCTTAATATGCATTCCCCATTCTGTACCTCTAGTCTATCACATCTCTGCAAAAAAGTGAGAAACATGCTTCATCTTCTACCTTCTGGAGTTGTGATTGGTCATTGCATAGATCAGAATCCTTACATTTTTCAAAGTATTTTTCCTTTACATTATTGTAAGGTCATATAAATCATTCTCCTGATTCTACTCACTTCACTATTCCTCAATTCGTGGAAGTCTTCCCATGGTTCTCTGAGTTTCCCATTCATTATTTCTTATGACATAGTACTATTCCATTACATTCATGTGACATAATTTGTTCAGCCATTCTCCCAAATGATGGGCACCTACTTTGTTTTCAGATCTTTGCTACAATAAAGCAGAGGCCTAGAGACAGAAATGTACAGGTCTCATTGGGAAACAAAGAGCAATTTGCTGTTATAAATATTTTTGTACATGTGGGTCGTGTTCCAGTATCTTTGATTTCTTTGGTGGTATTAGGGGTATTGCTAATTCAAAGGGTATACACGATTTCATTTCCTTATATTTTAGAAATGAGACATTTATCAGAGAAATTTATTGCAAAGATTTTTTCCTTAATTAACTATTTCCCTTCCAATTTTAGTTGCATTGGATTTGTTTGTCTAAGCCTCACATTTTGAAGGATATTAATAAATTGGAGCATGTTCAGAGTAGGGCAACTAGGATGGTGAAAGGCCTTGAACCCATGTTATATAAGAATCAGTTAAACAAACTTGGGACCTTTAGCCATGAGAAGGGACAACCTCAAGTATTTGAAGCATGTAGAAAAGGGATCAGAAATTCAATCAATGAACGTTTACATGTCAGGCACTTTGTTCTGTGGACATAAAGAATAACCAGAAATAATCCCTGCCTTCAAGGAACGTATATTACAATGGAGGCGGGGCAGGATGGGAAAGAACTACATGTGAATAAGTAGATATATCAAGGATAGATACTGAGTATCTGGAAGGTAATCTCAGAAGGAAAGGCACTAGTAGCTTGGGGGAACCAGGAAAGATTTCCTGTAGAAGCTGGGATTCAAAAGAAAGCCAAGAAATTAAAGAAATTGCTTCAATCCAGTTTTGTCTGGTCCAGGTTATACCTGAGTCTGCCTAGTATCTGTACACACACACACTAATGATCATTGCTGTCACAAAATGAAACCATGCAAAATTATTGCTTGTTTATGCAATACTCTTAAGTAAAAGGAGAAGGACCTTGGTGACTGGGAGGGTGATGGTGCCATGAACAGAAAGAGTGAAGTTAGGGAGAAAGGCAGGTTTTTTGTGGGGAGAAGAGGAAGATAAAACGTTCAGTTTTGGACCTACTGAATTTGGGATGCCAGAGCTACATATAAGTAGAGATGATAGTCATAACCCATATTTATAAAGTCCTATAGAGTTTACCAAGTGCTTTCTTCACAACAACCCTGCGGGGTAGGTAGTACAAGAATGATTATCTCTGTCTTATAGCTGAAGAAATTGAGGTTTGAACAGGTGAGTACCTTGCCCCCGGTCACACAACTACTGAGTGTTGGAGGCAAGATTCAAACCCAAATCATTTCTGCTTCTAAGTCCAGAGATTTCCCCATCATGTCCCAAAGTTTTCCAAGGATTTCCTCCCCCTCCTTAGATTCTAAAGGTAATTATGGTCATGACTTTTGCTTTCCTTGGCCCCTTTTTTTTATCTTAGTTTGGTTCCTTGGGACTGCCCTCCCTGCCAGGAAAGCAGACAATGACTCAGACCCAGGGACCGGAATTCCACTCCTTGAGTGGAATGGGGCAGGGGCCATGGGGCAGGAGGGTGACAGTGGAAACTTTGAGCAGATTTATTTCCATTCCTAGCCAGTGCACCCAATTAGGAGAATATTGGGCTATGTGAGGTACATGAGCTACAAATGAAAAGATGAAAAGTCTTTGAAGGCAAGGCAAAGGTAGGCTGAGTTGGGATTAGGCAGGACTCTGGTAGTTTTCTGTGCTTGACTCATGTCAGGACCCTCTCCCCCTCTGAGCCTCAGTTTCCTGAGAACTCTTGGTAAGGAGACAACATAGTATAGTAGAAAGTGCTGAATTTCTGAAGCCCTGAGTTCAAATCCCAGTTATACCATTTATTACCTATGTGACCTTGGGCAAGTCATGTAACCAAATGATTAGGTTAAAAAGTTAACCACTGAGATTCCTTCTAGCTATAGGGCCATAATCCTAAAAAGTGGATGTCCCTGCAATTATAGAAAAGCACAGCTGGAGAGTATAGTGTGTATATCTTTGGTTGGAATAGATGGTTAGGATGCAGAGAAATTGGGTACATAGTTAGTTAGGCTCAGAAAATCTGTCCCAGAAAACAGTCCCAACCAAAGGGTATAAGGGGAAAAAGATATTGAGTATAGTAATGGTGAGAACAGTCTAAGCTCTGCTATAGTACATCTTATATAGCTGGGAGAAATTCATTCTATCTCCATCTCTGGAAGGGACTCTTCACTTGACGTTCTGGGAGTCTTCCTCCTTTATCATCAGGACTAGTCTACAAAATGGGCCCAAATCTGCTTTTCTTAGCTGCTCCCATAAAGGTGGACCCAGGTTCTTTCCTCTATTTTAAAGAAAGAAAAAGAGACAATAGAAGGGAGGTAGAGAAAGGTACGGGCAGGAAGGATTCTTGGTCCATGGTGATAATAAGTCAGCCCTGCTGAGATGTATTGCATAATTTGGGGATGGAGTAGTAGGTGGGAACCTCACTGGCTATTATCATCCCCCTCCCCCTGCCTAACTCTTGAGTCCCACTTCTGGGCATAGGAATGAATATTGTCTCCCCTCTTGCCTTTTTGAATTCCAGCTCAGTATTCCTAGATCTTTTGATTTGCTTCTGTTAATTTCTAGACCAAGTAGTTCTTTACTGAGTTCTTTCTGAGGAATCATGTTACAAACCCAAGGAATCTAGAGAATGGAAATATGTGTATCATGAATCCTGGCCTTGTGGATCCCGGTGGATTGGTGCTGCCAACTACAACTGCTTCCTGTTGACTAAGATGCCTTTCCCATTCTGTTTCAGGTACCGGGGCCTTATTCTGCTGCTCACCTTTCTCATTTACACCTGTTACCACATGTCTAGGAAGCCAATCAGTATTGTCAAGGTGAGGCCAGGGAAAAGCCAGGGTAAGAGCTAGAGTGACTTGTGGGAGGAAGTAGTCCTACGCTGGGAACACCCTTGGCTAGCAGGATGTGCTCTCAGAGTCCTAAAAGACAGGTTCTTACACATTCTCAGGTGTCTGGCACGTGTTTTCTCCTCCCATTCTCCTTGAGAAGGGAATTAGCTCCCCCCACTTCATCCTAGGCCCTCTTCTCCATAGCTCCCCTTGCCTCACTTTTCATGTGCATTTACTTTGCATGAGCTATCAGCCAAGAGGTGTAGGCACAAGAGACCAGGAAGCCATGTGAGGCTTTGGGAGCAGGGAGGGGCAGTATGTTGTGAGTAGGAGTTAGGCTAGAGAATCTGACTGGGTGGGATTGGATCTTGGGGATGAAGGAGGCTCAGGGTTCTGTTGCAGCTGGGCCTCTCTGTCAGTGGTATGACTCTTAGGCTAATCCTTTGCTTCCTCAGAGTCAGCTGCATCAAAACTGTTCAGAGCTAGAAAGGCCCGACAACAACTCCAACAGCACCACATGGTGTTACTGGGCTCCATTTGGTAAGAGCCTGGCCGCATTTTCCCACTCTTCTTTTTCTGCCCTCTACCCTTAATACTTGCCCAAACTCTGCCTTGAGTAAGAGGAGTGGATGGGCTTTGTGACGACTAGTGAAAAACTGATCCCTTGGAAAGATATAGGATTGAGATTTAGTACTTTGTCCTGTACCTATCTAATGCACTTATCAAGTAATAAAAGTTTTTATCTGTGTTTTTGTCTTATGCCTCTATTAAATAAGTGTTAAGAGGACAAGGATGTGTCTTATCTCAACTTTGTGTGTTTCCCAGCACCTACCATTGTGTCCTATATGTATGTATATATGTATGTCTGTATGTATGTAGTACGCATTGTTCAAGTCACCAGTGATTGCTTGCCATAACTTACTATATTTTCCCAGTCCTCATCCTTTTCGACCTTTCTGCAGCACGATACTGTTGCTCTCTCTTCTCTGGGTTATGATACTCCTCTTTCTTGGTTTTCTTCCCACTTGTTTGACTACTCCTCAGTCTCCTTTGCTGGCTTATCACCCACGATATGCCCCCAACTGTGGGTATTCTGGGCTCTCTTGTCATTTTGTACTATATTGTCTTGGTAACCTCACGAACTCATATAGATTTAATTACTATCTCTATGTTCATGACTCTTAAGACCTATATCCAGGCCTAGTCTCTCTTCTGATCTCTAGTCTTGCAACACAGACATTTCTAACTGGATGATTTGTAGCTATCTCAAAATCAAATTATTCAAAACAGAACTCATTCTCTTTCCCTTAACACCTCCTACCCTCCTGCCATTTCTGTCAAGGTCACCACCATCCTTCTCGTCCTCTAAATTTGCAACCTCAGTGTCATCCATAACATCTCACTTTCATTCCTACATAGCCACTCATTTACCAAATCTTTGACATATATCACCTTCTCCTTGCTCACAAAGCCACCCCAATTGTTTAAGCCCTCATTACTTCTTATCTGAAGTACTACAGTAATCATCTGTTTGGTCTCCTGGCCTCAGGTACCATTTCTGTCCAATCCATCCTTCACACAATTGCCAAACTTGTTTATGTAAAGGGCAGGCATGACCATGTCACTTCCCTACTCAATAAACTCCAGTAATTCCCTATTTGCTCCAGGATCAAATGTAAATTCCCCTGCTTGGCATTTAAAGCCCTTCACAATCTTGCCCTGACTTACCTTCACAGCTTTATGATGTATTCCTTACTTTTTGAACACTGTAGTGCAGCTAAATTGGCTTTCATCTTCTATCTCTGCACCTATACCCATGACTGAAGTACATATCCTCCTCACCATCATTTCTCAGAATTGTTAATTTTCTTCAAGGCCAGCTGCAGTGCTACTTTCAACAGGAGACTTTTCTTGACCTTCTCTCCCTCTAGCTACTACTGCTTTCTTTTCCAAATCACCTTGTATCCATTTTGTCTCTCTCTCTCTCTCTCCGTGTGTGTGTGTGTGTGTGTGTGTGTGTGTGTGTGTATCTTTGTCTCTCAGGATGGAATGTAAGTTCCTTGAAGGCAGGGATTTAAGTCTTTGCATAGACCTATATGTATCTGGCATATACACTTAATAAGTGTTTGATTAACAAATTGGTGGTGGTGGTAGCTGGGAGAGTTGAGAAAGGCTTCCCATTCTGTGGCAGTCTGATTGAGGAGGCTTCTTTTTCATTTGTTTCCAGATCAGGACAACTACTCACAACTGCTGGGGGGTGTGGACGATGCTTTTCTGATTGCCTATGCTGTTGGCATGTTCATCAGGTATTAAGGGAGAGACAGAGCCATCCCTAGCATAGAATAAATCAGGATAATTTTTCTTAAGTATCTTTGTCAGAACTAATATATTTATTTAAGGACACGCCAGCAAGATGGGCAAGGAGGTGTCTTAGCTAATGCAGAGACCAAATACATACAAATCAACCCTTATCATTCCCCACAGACAAAATCCCCTAGACATAGGGCTCTTCCTTACTTTCTCCCTGCTGGCTGCCTATTTATAACTTGTTTTCCCTTTTAAGGCTGCCTTTGATCAGTGATTTTTAATCTCTAGGCAAAAAGGTGGAGTTGCCTCTTTGCCACCTCAGACTGCCCCCTTTCTGACTCATGGGTTGCCCTTGATTAATCATTTTTCATCTGGATAAAAATGTTGAGGGGAGCCCTTCTTTTGTTATAATCTAGACATCCAAATTCCTTAGGAAACATTTACCTTAATGGTAGGTGGAGCTGGGGAGGAGAGCAGGTATGAGTTCTGGCTTGGGTGGCAGGTCTGGGCTATGACTGGAATATTTTTTGAGATTAAATGATTAATTTTCTTCAGTGGAATTTTTGGGGAGAGACTTCCACTCCGCTATTACCTGTTTGCTGGAATGCTGCTGAGTGGGATTTTCACTTCGCTCTTTGGCCTGGGTTATTATTGGAACATTCACCAACTGTGGTACTATGTACTTGTCCAGGTACAGGTTCCCCTCCCTTTTTCAGATTTATTTTCCTGCCCCAATTCTTCCTCCATCCCTGCTCCCATTCCTCTAAATCCAACCTGTCTTCTCTGCTCTTTAATCACTAGTTGGGAGGACATAGGACCAGAAGGGCATTTTGTTTTGTTTTTGTTTGTTTTTAGCTCTGTGAAGGGTTTGTGTATGGTCTTTGAGTAGTATGGGCAGAGCTTCATTCCCAACTTCTTGCTCCCCTCCCTGCTTTTCAACTCCAGACCCTTGAAGTTAATCTGTGCCCATCATTCATGTTCCCTTAACTCTTCTCTTTCTGTAGATCTTTAATGGACTGGCACAGACCACAGGCTGGCCATCGGTGGTGACCTGTATTGGTAACTGGTTTGGGAAGGGAAAGTGAGTATAGGCATGGGGGGGGGGAGAAGGGGAGAAGGGAGGGAGGAATAGGAATTGGAGGGTGCTTAGAAGAAGAAGAAGAGAGAGAATACCCCAAGCTGTGGGTATGGATTTCACTGGTGGAAGATTTCACTGGTGAAGGGTGATGGAGTAATTGCATTTGGGACTCCAAAGAAGTGGGACTAAGTAGAGAGAGAACTCATCTGGAAGGTGTTAAGATCCCTCCATTCTCTTCCTATCTGACCAGGTGACATAGATCAGTTCCCTTCCTTGCTAACAGCCTCAGTTGCCCCTTAGGTGATGAGGTGCTTTGAGCTCATCAGATGAGATATACCTCATGAAATTCTCAATTAGCTCCTTGACCTAGGGCTAGGTTGCTAACCTTTCTACCTCCTTTCTCCTCCATCTTCCTCTTTCCATCTCTAGGCGTGGATTTATCATGGGTATCTGGAACTCCCACACATCTGTGGGCAACATACTGGGCTCCCTGATTGCAGGTATCTGGGTGGATTCAGCTTGGGGCCTGTCCTTCATCGTGCCTGGTGTTGTCATCGCTGTCATGGGCCTCATCAGCTTCTTCTTCCTTGTTGAGTGTGAGTGGAGAACTAGCTCCTGGGCCTTCTCCTTTCCCAGGATTCTCTAATGAGCATCATACTAAATTTTTGTTTTTCTAGCCTGAAGGTTTTCCTGTACTTAAGGAGCTGAGAAAAAGAGATGACTAATGTTAACTCACATTTGTGTAGCACTTTTAAGTTTATTGTGTTTTCCTCATAGCCATCCTCTGAGGCACGTGATATGCTAGCATTATCTCAGTTTTATAGATGATAACACCAAGACTTTTTTTAATCTTTTGTCATTGGTCATAAATAAGTGACAGTGACAAGTTTTGAAATTGAGATCTCTTGACTTTAAACTCATTAGCTTTGTGAGCATCAAATGAGACAATGTATATATAAAGCACTTTGCAAATGTTTAAGTGCTACAGAAATAAGAACTGTTATTATTTCAAGATGTGGAAATTGGCAATGCTTTGCTTTATGGGCTTTTTCCTTTTTAAAACGTTTTCACATTCGTTATTTTATCTGATTCCTATAAGCAGTCTTGTGATGCAGGTAGGGAAGTTAGTAATATCTCTACTTTACAGGTAAGAAATTGATACCAAAAGGTGAACCGATTTGCTTAAAGTCACACAACCAGCTAGAGACAATTGGGATTAGAATCCAGGTCTCTTGCCTCCTGAGCAGCTAGGTGGTGCAGTGGATAAAGCATGGGGCTTGGAGTCAGAAAGACCTGAATTCAGATCCAGCCTCAGATATTTACTAGCTGTGGGACCCTGGACAATCCTGTTTGCCCCAGTTTCTTTATCTGTAAAATGATCTGGAGAAGGAAATGGCAAACCACTCTAGCACCTTTACTAAGAAAACCCTGAATGGGGTCACAAAGAGTCAACAGCACTGAAATGAGTGAACATCAACTTCTGCCTCCCAATTCCCTTCCTTTAAGTTCTACTGTTTTTCTTTTCCTCCTCCTTATAACCGAAGGGTAGAGCCCCCAAAATTCTGAACTGGTTTGAACTCAGTAATAGGGAATGAAGGGATGAGGATGTTCAGGAACAATAGGGCCTAGCCCTCTGTGACTCTGATCCACACCTTTCCTTTCAGACCCTGAAGATGTGAACTGTACTCCACCTCAGCATCATGTGAGTATGACCCCTTCCAGACGAAGTTGAAAGGTGACCCTGTTCTCCTCATTCTTTTCTATTTTTGGTTTCCAGAGATTTAGTTGTTAGAAGCAGTAGGCTAGAAGGAAGGAGGTTGGTTGGGAAACCAGCCAGTTACTAAACAGACTTGATTAATCTCTACCTCTCATTTCCTACTTCACATTTTACCACATAAATCTCCATCAGAACCAGGGCCAGCCATAGCTGATCAGTTAGTTCTATAAGAGGGGTCTATATACAACCATGAATTTCTAGGACCTATTCCTTTCAGTCAGGGATGTCCCACACCCCTCAGGTAATGGTGAGTAAACCTGGATTTCCATTCTGTGGGAGGGGGAGTGCCAGAATCTCATTCCCTACATTAAAGAACTTCTCCCCACTGGGTTCAGAATGGACCTGTTGAAGACCTGGGTACATCTGTGGATTCAGTGGCTGGGCATTGCTCTGACAGGAAGAGTAGAACTGAAGGTGCTGGGTGTTCCAAGGAATCAAATGAAAAGCTTGAGGCCATCAGCTTCCTAGGGGCACTCAGGATCCCAGTGAGTAAGGGGGGATTGGCAGGGGTGGGGGTGGTGAAGGACTGGACTAGTGCTTGAGTGGTGATTCCAGAGATTTCTTTCTGTAAGCGGTTGAGAAGAACAGGGTGCCCTAGAGCTGGTGCCTTGAGAGCAGTGATGAGGGAGTCCTTTGGCACTATCTCCATTGTCCCTTTATTTTCCTCCAGGGTGTAATGGAGTTCTCCTTGTGTCTGCTGTTTGCGAAGTTGGTCAGTTATACCTTCTTATTTTGGTTGCCCCTCTACATTGTTAATGTGGGTAAGTGCACGTGCTAGGTGGAGAAAGTGGGGAGATGGGTAAGGGGGGGAGGAAGGAGAGAAGTTGTTAAAGAGTATTTGGAAACCTGAGGTGGGAATGGGAGTGGATGGCTCAGCAGAGTGAAGGATTACCTAAGCATTCTGCATGTAGTTCAGGTCTGGGAACATAATTTTTGTGGAACCTGTCTTGTGAGAAAAGCAAGAGGCTTAGAAATTAGATGCTGGGGCATTTAGGCACCCCCCTATACCTCCAGATCCATTGAGTGCAGACATCTTCCATCATATCATATTCCATCTTTTGAGAAAAAATTGGAGATTACATAATGAATCATGTCCTACATTTTCCTTTCCTTCTGTTCCCTGTTCGGACTTGTTACCTTTTGTCCTCATAGCCCAACAAGAACTCACTTGAAGGCTACCTGACTCTAAGTTGGGTGGTGAAATAGAGGCTTTTGGGGCAAGGCCTACAGTCACCTTATAACCAACTACTAGAGCAGTTTACAGCTTTTCTTTTTTAATTTTAATTTTTTTTTTAATTTTTAGGCAATTGGGGTCAAGTGACATGCCCAGGGTCACACAGCTAGTAAGGGTCAAGTTTTGGTCTGAGGCCAGATTTGAACTCAGGTTCTCCTGACTTTATGGCCGATGCTCTATCCACTGCACCACCTAGCTGCCCCCCAGTTTATAGCTTTCTCTGCTAAAGGGAGAATTCGTCAACATTGTGAGGATCATTGTGTTCTGTTCCAGGGCTGGCTCTGCTCTGGCACATTGTCACAAACCTGGGCATAGACACCTCTCTGTTGGCCATCTGGGCTCAAGATCTGGTGTTCTACGGCTGTTCACAACTAAGGAGTTATACCTCATTGGGACTCTCCCTCACTCCTTTCCTCCCAACTTGCATAGAACAAGATATCACTTCCCCTAATTAACTAAGAGTACACTGTCAGTCTTTCTTGGGTGTGTCTTAAAGTAAAAACTGCAGTAAAGCACATCTTTCTCCATCCTTCATCCACAGCTCCCAAGATCCTTTGAGCTCCCAGTACCTTCGACTACCTTCTTCTCCCTCTTCTAGCCACTCTAGGGATGGTGACTCCAAATCCCCTCAGGTCCCCTGTAAGCCATTCTCTACTCCTACCCCAGAATCCAAGCTCCTCCTTACCTGCCTCTTCTGTCATCAGCCACAATCCCTGTTTTGATGTCTGACTCCTACAAAGTTGCTTTTTTTTTATACAATCCAGCATCTTGAGCAGTGCATTGTGGGAATTAGTCATGATAAACCTTGAGTTTAGTTTATCCCCAAGTTCATGTAAGAGGCTTTCTTCAAAGACAGTTGCAGAATTACATGGGTGCTACTCCTCAGATGCTCTGTGAATCATTCCCTTATTTGTTCTTTGCTTCCAAGTTATGCATTTTAGTCAGGTTGTTGTGTTACTATTAAGCTTTTGGTCAGATTTTTTCTCAGTTCTTACCCTTTTGTTTTCTCCACAGCTCATTTTGGATCCAAGGAAGCTGGGGATCTTTCTACTCTCTTTGATGTTGGTGGCATAATAGGTCAGGCTCTCTGTGCTTGTTTTTCCCGGAGGGCTGAGTCTTTTCCCATGAATTGAGAGTAGAGTAGTATAGGGTAAGGGAGGGAAGTACATGGTCAATAAAGCTTAATTTGGTCAAGTAGAATTAGAGGAGAGGACGTATGTTTCCAGGGATTTCTGCCTGGCCAAGCAGCTTTTGGGAAAACATGTTCCTCCTCATACTTGTTTTTTCATTTACAAGGGGGTATGTGGGGAAGGGTGGAGTGGAGAGAAACCTTTGTCCACATCCTAGTCTCTAGGCTGTGGTAATGTAAGGGGGTCAAATGCAGTGGGTGGTAAGGTGGGGGTATGTGTTACAGGTGGCATCCTTGCAGGGATCATCTCTGACTATACCAATGGCAGGGCCACTACCTGCTGTGTCATGCTGATTGTAGCTGCCCCTCTGGTTAGTCTCTATCATTTGGGAGGGGATGGTTGGATGACTACTTGGGGAATGTCTGCAGAGAATAAATAAGTTAGTTTAACAGCAAGAGGGCTGGCATAGTAGGAAGAGAAACATGTGGAGAGCTTGGGGAACTATCTAGCTTAGGGAAAAGAGTGTTGTTTTTGTGTGTGGTGGGGGTAGGGAAGGGGAACAGCTTATTGTGGAAAAGAGGAAGGCCAGCTGTTCTATTTTGCTACTTAATTCAGGCAAAGAGGGAATTTGGGCTTATATTGTAATGGGAAAGTGAGGTGAGATATGAACTTTTAGATAGGGAGACTTAAGAATTCATAGCTACATCAGAATCTGTTCTTGGGGACAGAGATCCCCATCATTCTTAGGAGGGGTACACAAGATGACCAGGGATTCCAGGATATAAAAGGGTAATGCCAAGATCTATGGACCACAGTCCATATGAAAACCTAATGAAGGTAATAACCTTTTCATCCCACACCCTTTCTTCTTCCTTCTTCCTCTACCAGCTATTCCTGTACAACTCTGTTGGCCAGAATGGGATCAGCAGTTCTATAGGTGAGGCTGCAACTTGTGTTCTTCTGCATTTCCGTGAACATCCATGGAAATGGGCCAGGGAGGGAGAGGTTTGGTGATCTGAGTATTTGAGTACGTAGGAGTGGACTGGAGGTGGGGTGGAAGGAGGGAATAGGAAACCAATTAAGTGCATAGGAATTTGCTGGGGATGGAGAAGGAAGGAGGACTAGGAATCCAATTCCTGTGGGGAACAGTTCTTAAAGACTGGGAGAATTTTGGAGAACTTCCCAGCTTTAGACTTTGGTGGGGATGACCACTATCTTTGTTTCTACCTTCCTAGTGATGCTGATTATCTGTGGGGCTTTGGTTAATGGGCCCTACGCTCTTATCACCACTGCTGTCTCAGCTGACTTGGTAAGCTCAAGGCATCCAAGAAATGGCATTGTACTTCCTGACTTAGCACAACTCACGGTGTCCCATGCCATGGAGGGTCCCAGTTCCCATGAAGTCTACCTTATTAGAGGAGGGAATTGTTTCCAAGATTTGGGTGTCTCTCTTTTGGTCTCATGTCCATTCGTTCCCCCTTTACTCAATTCTAGATAAGTCAGTGTGTTCTCTGGGGAGCATTTTCCCTTCTGAATAAACTTTGTGTTCCTTTTCTTTTTCCCAAATCAGGTATCTCCCCAATACCAGCATCAAATTTGCTAGGAGCTGTGTCCTTTTGCCAGTACTGAGGCTATTGCTAAGCAGAGGCTGATGCTCTCCCTGGTGAATTTGGCTGCACTGTGGGTCTGGCTAAATAGCAGAGATAGAAGTTGCTTGTGATGGACCTCTGATTCTACTCTCTCGTCTCCCCAGGGTACACACAAGAGTCTGAGGGGCAATGCAAAGGCACTTTCCACTGTGACAGCCATTATTGATGGGACTGGCTCCATAGGTCAGTGTGCTCTGGCTGCGTCCTTGTCCTTCCGACTCCTTATCCCAGGCAGTTGGGCCCTGATCTCTTCCATTGCACTGACTGGCAGCCTGAGGATGGGATGGGCTAGAGGAGCAGCTGAGTTGTGGGGAGAATGTTACAGCAGAGAAGACTAGACCAACATGAGGTCAGGACCATCTTGCTTTGCTCCTCACACTGTCTGTGTTCTCCCTCCAGGTGCTGCTTTGGGACCTCTGCTAGCTGGACTCATCTCCCCTACAGGCTGGAACAACGTCTTCTATATGCTTATCTCTTCAGATGTCTTGGCTTGCCTAGTAAATGACTTTTTTGGGTCAAGAGTGGGTATGGGGAAAGGGGCACATGGTCCCAACCCAATGTTATGGCACCCTTGCCTGGCTGTTTAGCAGGGACTCTTCAGGGAAGGAATTGGCACAAGGAAATCTCGGACAGTATAGAAGTGGCTATACTTCGTGGGGTTTTTGGTATCTTTTCTGGATAGCTGAGAGCTATATTACATTCCTCATAAAATCCACCACCCAAGGTTACTATCTTTCCACCCTATAATTAATCAACAAATATTTATGGAATGTGTACCATGTGGAAGGCACTGCTAGACCCTATCCTATCTCTTTACCCCAGACCACTACAATGACTGATATCTGCCTTGCTCCATACTTTCCCATCTGTTTTCCTCTCCCCTACAGTTCCTCTCTCGCTTGGTGTACAAAGAGATCCAGGCCTGGAAGAGAAGCATGAACAGAAACAGAGGGTGAGTTCTCTTGAGATCAAAGGTCCTTGAACTGGAGGGCTTGCTTGGGCACTCAATTTTAGGGGCTCCCCCAAACCCTACATTTTGTGTTAATCATAGTCTACCCCTGGGTGCTGCTGGAGAACCAGAGACTAATCTCTGACTTTTTAAAAACTACCGTGAGGCTTGCTTGAGCCCCAACTCTCTGAAAATTCTTAACCTGGACTCCAGGGAGCCTAATCTGAAGCCTCCAGCCTTCATGCTTCTTACTCTCCCTCCCAACACCTTGCTACCCATTGCTAACATCCATTGTCTTCCATGTGTCTTCATAGCTCTTGCCTGGCCCTAACCCACCCGAGGTAGTGTCCGGTGGACTGTGGTTTGTGTTGTGAGTATGTTCCTTTAGTCCCATGAATGATTTACAATCAGAACCAGGACTGCATGCCAACTCTCTTCACCAGTGTGATTTTTCTTCCTTGCTTCCAAAGGGGTCAGCTCCAAGGACTTGTGATTTAAACAGAATGTAATGTGTATGGGGGTTTTCTTAGGAAGTGCAGAACTCAGACAGGGGTCTCTGCCTTCTGTGGGGAGGATCAGACCTTAGGGGTATTTCCCTAGAGCCTTTGGGGATGGGGGGATAAGGTTTGGAATAAAGACTCCCCTCTTTGCAGTAATAATGCCACTGCCATGAAGTTCACAATCCAGGATTATCTGGTACCTTGACTTGTGGGATGAAGAAAACAATCAAACTGAATTCTAATCAAGTCCAATGGAGATACCTGGCCTGTTTCTGTCTCAGCTTTTGTTGATGGGCAGTGGGGGTTTTGTGGAGAAGAAAGAGGGAAGAAATGGGATGGCATGGGCAGAAGATGGGGAAAGCAAAGGGACTGGTCAGAGGCTGGGACTGTATTGGTGGTGGTAGGGATAACCCTTTCTATGGCCCCCTGAGCTTCTCTCATGGGCCTGGTTTTCTTGCTTGCAGGGATCTGGATGATTCTTTGAACCCAGACTAGATGGGTGAAGGGCAGGGAGGGAATTTCTTTTTGTACTCCATGGGAAGCCTGGAGAGCTCTGTTCTAGTGCTGCTTATCTGGAGAAAGGTGATTAGGCGAGTTGTTTTCCTTCAGGGAATTGGTCACCCATGTGGGTATGAAAGATGGGAGGCTTGGGGACTAGATAGGGAGCCATGCTATTTTCTAAAGAGGGAGCTAGGCAACATTTAAGACTGGAGCAATTTATTTATGAATCAGTGTCCCTCTCACTCATTAGAGTGCCATTTTGACACAAAGTGGGATGGGATAAGGGGAAGGACATTCAGAAGAAATGCTGAAAAAAGAAGGGGAATCAGGTGGCTCTACCCTAACTGGTTCCCTGTGGAAACTTGTTTCCAGCTCTGATCTACTTTCTTTAGAGTAGAAGGGAGATTTATAGCTCCTACCCTCACACTCTATTTATAAACAGAATAAGGTAGAACTTGAGGGTGGCCATTGAGATCTAGTGTTCTAAGGAGGTACAAGAGTTTGCCTGGTCCTCTCATCTCTGTCTTAGTTCCCTAACCTGAGTCTCTATCTTCCTTCTAGATATAAAGAGATATGAGGCCCCCATCTGAAGTATAGGAGCCAAGGATCTCTCCTGGATCCCCAGAAAACTCCCCACTGGAGACACCTACAAACATAAACAGAATTTGGGGCAGCCAGAGCTGCCCAGGGACCTGCTATAGGTCTTGATAGAATTTCCAGGGGGAAAGAGGCTAAAGAGCCTCAGGGAATCATAGATTAAAGAAAACAACACATTTTGGGCAGGGAGTGTGTTGTAAGCAGCACATACAATAGTAGGGCTGGAGCTAAGGTGGCATCCCAATCACAAGAAAAGAAAGGCATGGCCTATCCTAGGTCTAGTTTCTTTGCTGAATTGGGTAACTCAAATTTTAGGTGCCAAGATAGAAAGTAAGGATTCTGTGGGGACAAAGCAAACAATAGGCCATACTATTCCTCTTCTCTCCCCATTACCATTATATTTGAACTGACTTTGTAATCAATTGTTCCCCTCTGTAACAGAGGTGCCTTACCATATTTTCAGGTGAACAGCTGCAGAGTTTGAGGTCAACTCTGTTTCTCTGCTTTCTGATCTTCATATCTCTGTACTCCCAAATTTAATCTTTCCTCCTCTTTTGCCCTCCCCTGCCAACTCTGCCTCTGTCTATAAATGACAGCTCAACTTCTCTATCCTTGATTAAAATTTTAACATAAACCTTGTATTGATAGATGATGGATTTTTGTCAGCTGTTGTGTGATTGAAAAGAGCTGTTTGTGTGTGTGTGTATGTATATATGTGAATGTGTGCGAGGTGTCTTTTATCCTAATTTGGTTATGTTTTGGGAACCTACCACATGTTTAGTACTGAGGTGGGTAATGTTCAAGATACAGAAGTATAATAGTCAATCTTTTCTCAAAGAACTTAAAATATAGTTGGGAAGATGAGACACATTGATTTTATATGGCAATGCCAATAACCATGGGTACAAATGAAGACACATTTACTCCTCTGTGCTTCTTATAGAGATGTTAAGTGCTATTTGTGACTGCTTCTTTGCCTTAATATGCCTGCTTTTACTCAGAGAATTCAGTTCTTCTACAAATAACTATACTCAGGGGGCAGCTAGGTGGCGCAGTGGACAGAGCATGGGCCCTGGAGTCAGGAGGATTTGAATTCAAATGTGACCTCACAGGCTTGACACTAGCTGTGCGACCCTGGGCAAGTCGCTTAACCCCATTGCCTTGCAATAAAACATAACTACACTTTATTATTGCTGTTTGCCAGCCTGGTCTGGTGACTGCTGTAGTTTCCTGGCTGTTCGTAGCAATGCTATGTTACTTAAAGCCATGCTTCATCATCCTTATAACCTTCTGCTCTTTGTTTTTTATGGTCACCATACTTTGGTCCTCTATAGCAGCATCTAGTATAACTGCTGTTATACTATCCATCCTGTACCTAAGTCCAATTGCTTTTATAACCTTCACTTCAGGTTGCATTCTAAGACTGTAGGTGGTGATGTCAGGGTTGGTTTGCCATTAATTTTCACTAGGGATTCATAAAGGATGTTGACAGCACTTTTAAGAAACCTCTGTTTTCTGGCATATGGTATCTATGGCAGCTTGGTTTCGTAGCCTTGTACTAGTTGAGCTTGATGCCTCATTATCATAGTCTGGGCATAAATTATTGGGAAAGTGAGTTAGTACCTCATGTTTTTCCCTCTACCCTGTGTTCCCCAAACAAGTACATTCATGTTTTAGAAAGTGACTAAAAAGATTATTTATCGTTACACCCTGACCCTTAAATCCAGAGTCCATTGATATGGGCTTCAATTTAGCAGTTCCAATATCTTCTTTGGTCACTAGATGGTGATACCACCCCATGGTAGAACACCATGGAGCCCAGAGCCGAAATAGGCTTCCCTGGAGCTTGTCAACACTAACAGGAAGAGATCTATCTCAAACTGTAGAGACTTGGGAATTCAGGAATACTGTGTGTATCTCCTACTATTCATGGTTCTTTCTTGACTTGTTTTATGAATCCATTATTCCTCTACCTTATTAATTTGCATTGGCTCTTAATGCAATAATTCAGTTATTTTCTCTCTACTCAAGTTTGTGGAGAATGTATTAGTTTCTGTGATTGTAAGTGGCACTTTTTTCAGAGATCTGAGAGCTATTCTAAGATGGATTACCACCACCAGAAAACAAAAATGCCATAAACTGAGCTATCTTCCCAAGTATCTAGGCTAGCAAGACAAATACTTTATTGTCTGATAAGTATTAGGAACTGGAGAATACAAAAAAGTATTAGGGTATGTTCTTTGTTCTTACTGACTTCACAATTTGGGTCAAGACACCAGACATGTACAGAGAGCTAAACAAAAATAATAACAGAGCTATTACAATGCAGTTATTGCCTAATGAATGGTATAAACAAAAATATACAAGTTTGGAGAATAAAATGAACAGTTAAAATGGTTAGGGAGGGCTGCATGGGAGCAGAGGGACTTAAACAAGGCCTTCAAGGATATGGAGTATTCGGATAGGCAGGAAGGTGGTATGATAAAAGGTTGAAAAGTACTTGTATTTTAGGAAAAGAAAAAAAAATACACAGTGTTTTTAAGGAAAACCACATGATGTGTTTTGTTGTTGTTCAGTTGTGTTAAAGATACTGGAGTGGTTTGCCATTTCCTTCTCTGGCTCATTTTACAGATGAGCAACTGATGCAAACAGGGTTAAGTAACTTACCCAGGGTCACACACTAGGCAGTGGCTGAGGCCCGATTTGAATTCAAGAAGATAAGTCTTCCTTACTCCAGCTCAGTACTATATCCACTGAGCCACTTGGCTGCCAAATGTGATGTGTTTAAGGGCTACTGAATAGATCAGATTGTTTTGGGAAGTGGGGATTAGGTCAGAAAAGTATGGGATCTGATTGTGAATGTTAAGTAAAGATATATGAACTTTATTCTATAGGCACTGGGGGGGTCATCAAAGACTACTGAATAAGGGAGATGACAGATTAATCTGTTGGTGGTATGTAGGATCAGAGATAGGAAGAGAGGCATGGCAGCAGCAGAAAAGGGATAATGTATGAGACAATAAAGAAAAATTCACATGACTTGGTGAAATGGGAAAATAATACCATTTATAGGAGTGCATTTAGTTTTTGCTAGGGATGGGGGAAGAGGAAAAATTTTTGAGTTTGACTTTAGGCAAGTTGAGTTTGAGAAGACAATGGAACACCCAATAAACCGACTACTAGGAAGCTGGAGATGTGTCTGGAGCTCGGGAGGAGCCAAAGCTAAAAATACAGATTTGGGAATCACTAGTATAGAGATGATAGTTGAAGACAGAATAAATGAAATGTCCCAGGAAGAGAATCCAGAGTTAGACAAGCAGAGAGATAAGAACTAAATCTTATCTGCCCACATTTGGGGAATAGGAAGAAAATCAGTTTTAAAGAATATAAGAGTGATCAGAGTTAGAAGGAAAAGAAACAGGGGAGTACACCTCCCATATCATCTGTTTCTTAGTCATATGGGTTCATTTCTTCGAAACATTTCTTCTTTTAAACCCAATCCTGCCAAAGGGAGCATCCAGGTGGCACAGTGGACAGAGTGTCAGGCCTGGGGTCTGGAAGACCCATCTTCCTTAGTGTAAATCTGGTTTAAATCAGACACTTAATAGCTATGTGACCCTGAACAAGTCACTTAATCCTGTTTGCCTCAGTTTCCTCATCTGTAAAATGAGCCAGAGAAAGAAAGACAAATTCCCCTATCTTTGCCACAAAAACCTCAAATGGGATCACAAACAGTTGGACACAACTGAAAAATGACTAAACAAATGCTACTATCATGCCCTAATCAATTAATCTGGACTAGTCTAAAAGCCTTTTTGCCTCTACTCTTGCTGTCTTGTGCATCCTGACATGCTAAGAAGTCTTTTTTGTATCTTTTCCAGATTCAGGTCAAGAGTTTGACCAGGCTGAGGCTCTCTGCTATCCCATAAACTGGGTGTACCTTAGAAAATTGCTATATGTGGGCTGAACCAAGAACCAGGGATACTTTTCCATGTGTGTTTGGCTGTGAAGACTGTTAATTCTGAATCCCAGCACTTTTTTATCCCACCACAGAAGTGTTAATTGAGAGCTTATGTTTATATATTTCTAAGGGTCTTGGGGAGTCCAGCCCTAGGATTAGTTTTCCCACAGTGATTTCCCCCAATCCCCAAGATTCCTGTCCCACTTCTATCTTGGGCACTGTATGTTCACCACAGGCCTGGAGTCAAGCCTTCTCTCTGGGCCTTACTTAGCACACACATGGGGCTAATGCAGGAGCATTATGTTAATTATTCATTTAATTTAACTTCATATTTGGTCTCAAGCCTAAAGTGTTCTTCCTTATAGATGCTACAATAGCTCTTGTAATTAAAAAGCAATAACTCTTTGTATTTCTCCTTTTTAGAGATCCATTGGGAGGCTTAGAGAGTGGGGGGAAAAAGATAGCAATAAGAGGGAAGAAGGAAGCAGTGGTTAAGAACTCAGCATTGTTAGGAGACAGACATGGTTGACCCTGACACAGAGAAGCTGGGAGAAAGGGACAGGTTAAGTCCTAGGGCATGATGGTCCTGCTAAAGTTGCTGATGTTGGCTTTGAGAGATGGGTAATGGTCCTAGAAGATGGAGGGTACAGCTCTGGTAGAAAAGAAGGGAAGAAAAGGGGGGGGAAACAACCATTATATCATAATTATGAGTACTTACCAGGATGCTAATTGAATAGGAACATAGTAAAACAAATCAAAATGTCAAAAGTTAAATGTAGGGAGGTCTGTAGTATGCGTTACATAATGTGTGACGTGTGCTCCATTTAAGTTTTCTGCAGGCAGACCCCATTCTATACATCTACATAAAGCATACATGTTTTCCACATCATCCAATTCATTTTGAAGGTTTAAAAGCCCCAAAGTGAGTAATAACTGACAAAATGAACCTGTTTTGAGTTTCTCCTGTATCTGTGGGAAAAATTTGGATCTGATATAGATGCCAGCCTCTCCTGCCTGGGTTCTAGGAGTTTAAGTCCAAAAGCCGCAGGAAGAGAAGATTGTTTTGACTGCAGCCCTGTAGTTTTGACTTTAAGCCCAGAAAGTAGAAGTTTAGAAGACAGTAAAACTATACATCTCACAAAGTACAGTTTTGTTTAAGACCTTCCCTGCCATCCACAAACGTGTAATTCGTTTTTGAAGTATCTCTTTACAAATGGTGGCATCAGGAGAAATGAAAAGTTCCCAACCAGGTTTGCTTTTGTATTGTATTTTAATAATCATTGACAGCCTCTTTGCTGTTAACACAGTGATCTGACAGCTAAACACCTACTGAGAAAGCAGAAGGGAGATAGATATGTGACCTGCCACCTACCCATAGGAGTCTTCCCAGACTTGCTCTTTCAGCAGGAACTCTGTCAGAAGGTGGTGACAAACAAAAGCCTGTGCTTGTTAGGAGTCAGTGTGCTGCTTGGGTTGGCCCAGCATCTTTGTGCTGCAGCTCATAGGCACCTGGGGTCCTCAGGAGCAGCAGATGCAACTGCTCTGAACCAAAGTACAGGACAATAATATGAAATCTGTTAGCCGGCTCTTGCCTTCCAATCTGTTTAGATATGTCCCAGTTACCCCTTTTATTCCCTTACATATGGTTTGTGCCAAAACAGATTCCTCACAAATAGTTCCCTCTGAAGCCTTCTCTATTTCTGTGGCGAAGCTTCAGCCCTAACTATATTATTTTGGAGGGTCCATTTTAACTGAAGACGATGTGGTAGGACCCATGACAAATTAGGGAAAATTCAACCTGTCCCCATGCCTGATGATTCCTTAAGTTGTGTCCCTTTCAAAATTTAGTTCCTATGCCTCTTGAGCAGGAATTGTGGCTTTTCTATGTTCACAATCAGACTCCACAGCTACAAAGTGACCTTAATCTTCCCCAAAGTCTTTAGTTTTAAAAACTTCAGCTTATTTGACTTGTAGCCCTCATTTTCAGGTTTCTGATTTTAAGCTAGAAGACTAAACTTTAAATAGCCCTGGAGATATATGATGTGATTTTGAAAACAAGATAAAATTTAGAGACCTTTCATGACTAACCTCACTGAGTCTGGGATTCCAAACAGGTAAAAGGACATGACAGACGCCAAAGATATACAGCCATCAGTAGCTCTGGTGAAAGGATTATAGTACTAAGAGGATACAATAGTGTCTCAGATTGGATTCATATAATAGTAAATGAGAAAAAGAGGAACTAAAGAGCCCAAGAAGAGGGAGAAAATGAGGGCAGGGATGCAACTTATACACTGCCAAAATGAGGACTACTATTCCGTACCTCTTCTCTCACTTCTAATCAAACTTGGAATACACAAAAGATAGTGTTAACTGTTTTTATTAGATAGGATATGAGACCTATATCTTTTTTAGAGTTCTCTAGCATAAAGTTGTCAATAACTATTATATAAAATTTTCCAAATATGAAAAGTAACACTTTAGATCTAAGTATACCTCCTTTCCAAATGAACTAGAATTTGAAAGCAATATAGTTTCACAGACCAGAAAGTACCTGATTTTTGTCCTCTGCCAGCTAGAGGCAAACATTTTCTTCCATAAATCATTCCATTTTATCTTGTCTAATTTAAGTCCCACTCCAAAATAGTTATGTACTCTTACTTCTGATTCTAAATAGGTGGAAAACTGAGGTATAAAAAGGGGAAGTGATGTGCAGTCATTCAGGATGATTGTGAAGATATCACCATTTCTTTCAAGTCAATGAGAATCCTTCCCCACTGGCATAATTCCATAGTTCCTTAGATAACTCCCAATACTTGTGGAATTCATGCCAGATCCAAGATATGGAAGCTGCCCATGCAAAACTGAGCAGCA